CAAACAGAGAAATTGAATTCTCCATTGACCTAATACCTAGAGTAGGGCCAATTTCTATTGCACCCTATAGGATGTCACCTGTAGAGCTTGTTGAACTAAAGAAACAATTAGAGGAATTTCTTTCAAAATAGTTTATCAGACCAAGTGTGTCACCTTGGGGAGCACCAGTGCTTTTTGTCAAGAAAAAGATGGAAGTATGAGATTGTGTGTGGATTATAGGCAACTAAACAAAGTCACCATTAAAAATATATACCCTTTGCCTAGAATAGATGAGCTTTTAGATCAGTTGAGAGGAGCCACAATATTTTCTAAAATAGATCTAAGGTCAGGATATCATCAGATTAGGAATAAGACGGAAGACATTCCAAAGACAGCCTTTAGGACTAGGTACGGATATTATGAGTATCTAGTGATGCCTTTTGGATTAACAAATGCTCCAGTTGTATTTATGGATTATATGAATAGGATTTTTAGAGCTTACCTAGATAAATTTTTAATGGTGTTTATAGATGATATTTTAATATATTCTAGGAATAAAGGGGAGCATAAAGAGCATTTGAGGATAGTATTACAAATTTTGAAAGATAAACAATTATATGCCAAACTTTCAAAATGTGAATTATGGATGGAAGAAGTTAAATTCTTAGGACATGTTATATCAAAAGAAGGTGTGACAGTTGATCTTAGTAAAATTGAGGTTGTAGTACATTGGGAAAGACTTAAGACTATCAATGAGATTAGAATTTTCCTAGAATTGGCAGGATATTATAGGAGATTTATTAAAGGATTTTCACAATTTGTATTACCTTTAACTAGGTTAACTAGAAAAGGAATCCCTTTTGTTTGGACACAAGAATGTGAAGATTGTTTTCAACATTTGAAGAATAAGTTAACATCTGCACCGATTTCAATAATCCCCGATCCTTTAGGAAAATTTGAGGTTTATAGTGATGCATCTAGAAAAGGGTTAGGTTGTGTTTTAATGCAAGAAAGAAAAGTTGTAGCTTATGGGTCAAGGCAGTTAAGGCCTTATGAGGAAAATTATCTCACTCATGATGTGGAATTAGTTGCAGTAGTTTTTGCACTCAAGATTTGAAGACATTATTTATATGGAGTTAAATTTGAAATTTTTAGTGATCATAAGAGCCTTAAATATTTGTTTGATCAAAAAGAGTTGAATACGAGGCAAAGAAGATGGATGGAATTTTTGAAAGTTTATGATTTTGAACTCAAATATCATCCAGGAAAAGCAAATGTGGTGGCTGATGCCTTAAGTAGAAAATATCTTCATATGTCATATTTAATGATAAAAGAAATGGAATTATTAGAAAAATTTCGAGACATGAGATTATCTGTAACTGTATTGCCTCGACGTTTAGGTATTAGTGAAATAAGGATTGAAAATGAGTTAGTAAATAAAGTTAAAGAAGATCAGCAGGAGGATCTTAGTTTAGAAAAAATATTGGAATAGGAAGGATTTACCAAAGAAGATGATGGTTTAGTAAAATTTAAAGGAAGGATTGTTGTACCTAGAAAGGAGGAATTGATGAAAGAAATTTTAAATGAAGCACATAGCAGTAAATTCACAATTCATCCTGGATCCACTAAAATGTATCAAGATTTGAAAAAGACATTTTGGTGGCCCGGAATGAAAAAAGATATTGCTGAATATGTTTCAAAAATTTTGGTTTGTCAAAAGATAAAAATTGAACATCAAAAACCTTCAGGATTACTTCAATCATTAAACATACCGGAGTGGAAGTGAGAAAGTGTAGCAACTGATTTTGTGATGGGTTTACCAAGAACTCAGGAAGGATATGATGCAATTTGGGTAATCATTGATCGATTCACCAAATCTGCTCATTTTCTATCAATTAAGGCTCAATATTCTATCGAGAGATTAACTCAGTTGTATATAAAAAAAATTGTCAAACTTCATCGTATACCTTTAAGTATTGTGTCAGATAGATACCCTAGATTTACTTCTAGATTTTGAGGATCATTGCAGCAAGCCTTCGAAACTAAATTAAGACTGAGTACAGTTTACCATCCTCAAACTGATGGTCAAACAGAAAGAACCATTCAAACTCTAGAGGATATGTTGAGAGCATATATTTTGGAACAAGGAGGTAGTTGGGATAAATACATGTCATTGATAAAGTTCGCCTATAACAATAGTTACCACTCTAGTATTGGAATGGCTCCCTATGAGGCACTCTGTGGAAGAAAGTGTAGATCTCCTATGTGTTGGTATGAAAAAGGAGAAAAACAATTGTTGGGACCAGAATTAGTCCAAGAAACCTCGAGACAAATTCAGATGATAAAGGAAAACCTTGAAAAGGCACAAAGTAGATAGAAAAATTATGCTGATAACAGGCGTAAACCTTTGTCTTTTGAAGAAGGAGAACATGTCTTTCTTAAACTTTCTCCTACAACAGGTGTAGGTAGAACCCTCAAAGTTAGAAAATTGAGTCCTAGGTATATTGGTTCATTTCAAATACTCCGAAAAATAGGGTCAGTTGCTTACCAACTTGCTCTTCCACCTCATCTTTCTAATCTCCATAATGTTTTTCATGTTTCTCAGCTTAGAAAATATGTCCCAGATCCCTCTCACATTCTTAATTTAGATTCAGTACAAGTTAAAGAGAATCTGACTATTAAGACCAGACCAATCCAAATTTTGGTAAAAATATGAAACAACTGAGAAATAAAGCAATTTCATTAATCAAAGTATTGTGGGAAGGACTTTCACCAAATAAAGCAACGTGGAAAAAGAAGAAGAATTACGACTAAATTATCCAGAATTTTTCTTAACAGGTAATTCAAAATTTTGAGGACAAAATTTTAATTAGAAGAGAAGAAATGTAATATTCAAAAAAAAAAAAATAGACGCAAAGGCGGCACTTTTTACGCCAAGAGGCCTTTTGCGCCAACTATCTAAGAAATAAGAGCGCGTTTTGCGCCAACTCTCTAACAAGTGGGCGCGCAAAGAGCGTAGACATATATATGTATACGGCGCATTTTGCGCCAACTCTCTAATAAACTTGGCGCAAAAAGCATGGACATGTATATATATATAATATATATATATATATGTTTACGTATATACATAATAATAATAATAATAAAAAGAAATAAGTAATTAAATATTAAAATAAATATATATTATATATAATATGTTAATAATAAAATAAATTATAATAATATAAATATTGATAAAAACTGTTAACGTGGAATCACCTAATGAAAGCTTATGGAAATTCTTCTAAAAACTGTTAACTTGGAGAGTTATTATCTCAATAGCAATCATTACTTAGTTTCAATTTAACTAGTTCGTTCAAATCTAACGAAATGCAACTTAAACCGTAAGCAAGCCTCCTTATATATATATATATATATATATATATATATATATATATATATATATATATATCGCTATCCATAAGAATAGAAAAAGAACAGCGAGAAGAGAGAAAAAGAAAAGAGAGAGAGAAAGAGAGAAATCAAAAGAAAGAAGGAAAGCGACGAGACATAAGGTAATATTGGGTGATGAAAAATATTCTCTCGTTTTTTTTTATATAGAAGATTTATCTACAAGCTTGTGTCGTTTTTCCAAACTCTTCTCTCTATTTGTTCTGTAGTTCAAGTTTATTTCGTTACCGTAGTTGATTTTGTTCGGTGATTTCATTTCTTACAATACCTTTAGCTCCTTTTAAATTTTATTTTTTTTCACCTACTGGAATAATTAATTGGTACCAAAATAATTACGAAGAGAATGTGTAAATTTAACTGATGAAGACTGCTACGAACTGAACCACAAAGTGTGGGTTCAGACGATTATAGGGTAAGAGACGCCTTATCGTGGTTTGAGCTCCTCCACAATAAATCTTTCATATGCAGAAAACCACAAAGTTGGAAAATTATTTAGCTTCAATTAAATATTACACAATGTATTATTTCATTTTATTAAATTATCTGAGAGAATGGTATCTTCTGTTATTACGGCTGGAAATGGTTATAGTTAGAAACCTCAATATTACTGAGATTTATCTCACGTGTGTTTGGTTTTATGCTAACCTTTCCAGAAAATCATAATGCCTAGTCTAAGCTTAGCAGGAGAAGGATGGAGTATCAATATTTACTCTTACGAGGACCGCATGAAATTTTATATTGTAGTAGAAAATCAAGGAGCTGCTTCAATATTTTATGCTGAGAGTGTGGAGACCTACACCTATAGACTAGATTATGATAAGACTTTTGTATTGTATAATTATGTAATGCCAGTAGACTGTAGGACCTACGTAAAATAACTTCCTTTTGTATCTGACGTAACATTATCTATAAAGTAATGTTGGTAGATGTTTATATAATTTTCTTTACTGTTATTATCATCAATATTTATTAATTAATAACATTAACTCCTTTTAATCTCATTTCTCACTGATTATGCGAAAACGTAAATATAAAAGTAAAAAAAAAAATCATGTAATATTCCTTATAAACGTTAGAAGCATCAGGCTGAAAATTGATTGTATTCCTTATAAATCATGTAATATTCCTTTTTTTTAATATTCCTTAAAAAAAAGACTTTTAAGTTCTTCAAATTCTAAATAATTTTTTAAAATCTATGAAAAAATTTATGTCGAAAAAATCTTTTAAAATCCTAATATTTAAAAATCTTTGGTTTTCCAAGGTATCCTCTAGCCGATGACTAATCCTTTCGAGATGAGAGATCACATTAAGTGGGTAAGCCTTTCCTAACAAAGCATTTTCCATACGCACGGCGAGGAATCGAACCGTTGTTAGCATGCTTAAGAAACTCATCTATCTAATCTTTAAAAATCTTTTAACTACAGAAAATATCTCTTTTTATTAAACCATCGGGCTGAAAATTGATTGGGCCAAGTGGGCACGAAGTAATTTAAGAGCCCAACGACGTCGAATCTATTTATTCTATTATCTTTATGACTGCAAGTGTTCTTTCTTTTCATTAGCTACTCTTACAAAACCCTCAATCACTCACACTTCTCTTGTCACGAAAACGCAACCACAGAGAGAGAGAGAGAGAGAGAGAGAGAGAGAGAGAGAGAGAGAAAAGAAGAAGGGGTGTTTTGTTTACTGTGATTGAGAGAAGCGCACTCAAACAAACGAAGAATTTGCAAAATCATGGCTCCGAATCTGGAATGTCGTATGTACGAAGCGAAATACCCTGAAGTAGACATGGCGGTGATGATACAGGTGAAGAACATAGCTGACATGGGCGCTTACGTGTCGCTGTTGGAGTACAACAACATCGAGGGCATGATCTTGTTCTCGGAGCTCTCACGCCGTCGGATTCGGAGCGTGAGCTCACTCATCAAGGTTGGGCGCATCGAACCCGTGATGGTTCTTCGTGTGGACAAGGAGAAAGGTTACATCGATCTCAGCAAGCGTAGGGTTTCTGAAGAAGACATTCAAGCCTGTGAGGAAAGGTATAATAAGAGCAAACTCGTACACTCAATCATGCGACACGTTGCCGAGACCTTGAATATCGACTTAGAGGTATCAAAACTTCTAAACCCCTCATTCCTTAGTTTCTTTCATTAAATTTTTATATTTACCGTTTTTTTGCTTCATAGTGGTGATTGATGTTACTGTAACTTTCAATATTTTTGGTCAATTGCTTCTTGTTCAAACTCATGGTCCTTCCAATTTCTTGGTGGATTTTTCTCTCTTGTGAAATGTGAATTTTTAGTATTCTGACATGTTTGAACCAATAAGTCTATTTCTCTTTCAAAACCACCCATGGAAACAGAAAAATAATAATATTATCAAAGGTAACTAAAATAGCTGAGTGCGCGCTGAGACAAAGTGATGCTGATTACGATTATTGTCAGTATATTACTATGCGTGAAATCAAACTTGTATTGCACATTTGCACCATTGTTTTGTCCATTCATTCGATGACTCTGATTCCATGAACCATGCGCCTTTTATCTTAAGATATTGTATTTTAAAGTAACCACTGGCACGATATATATTGAATGGATATGTTTGAATGACGTGCTGCATTAGAATGCATGCCATGATTAGATAGGCATCTGGTAATTGTATGTATTTTTGTGAAGTAATTCTTTTTTATATAAGCTCCACACCTGTACATGATTTTTGGATTTCCTTGGTATTATTGGACAGACAATAGTGGTGATAGTGAGCAGTTCGTTGGTGGCATTTTGAATTTCTGCCTTGATATAAACTGAGATTCTTTTTTTTTTTGTTGCTCTGTTATGTTTCTTTAATTACTATCGGCGTCAAGCTTTTTACCTCTATAATGCTTATATTGCAGTATTGGCTTATTGCATTATTTTCCCCTTCTAAACATGTTTGCCCATTAATTCTGTCAAGAGCATTAGGGATCATTGAGAGAGACAGTTTTTTCTGTGAATGTCAATGACTAGTACTGTGCAGAGAAGTCTTATTTATAACAGGGAAGAATGGTAAAAATATTTGTCTAGAGCAATTGATACAACTATATACAGAACATTAATAATAGAAACTAAAATCTTAACAAGTTCGGTAGTTGTATCTGCCAGTCCATAGTCTATAACATGTATACTTAAAAAATTTTCCTTTTGGTGGTGCTACTATTTCAGTTCTGTTTATTGAACTAAATTCAAGTGGCTTTGTGCAGGAGCTGTATATTCACATTGGATGGCCTTTATATCGCAAATATGGTCATGCTTTTGAGGTCAGAATTTTTTTTTTTAAATTCCTTTTATTGTTCTCTAACTTTTGTAGTTACCACAATAACTTCATTATATGCAGGCATTCAAAATAATTGTGACTGATCCTGATACAGTACTGAATACTCTCACCCGTGAAGCCAAGGAAGTTGGCCCTGATGGGCAAGAGGTAAATATTGTTATCAGAGAAATACTTGCCACATAAATGTTGTTGATGACTAAAGGTATTTTTTATTGTCTCCCATAGGTGACCAAAGTGGTACCCGCTGTATCAGAAGAAGTGAAGGATTCTCTAGTAAAGAATATTAGAAGACGAATGACTCCCCAACCCTTGAAAATTAGGGCAGATATCGAAATGAAATGTTTTCAATTTGATGGAGTTCTTCACATTAAGGTTTTAATTGTTTCTGTCCCCCCCCCCCCCCTTTTTTTTTTCTTTCTTTTTTTCGATAGAAAGTTCCCCCTTTTATGTTGTGTTCTCGGGTTATTGCCTATGGCATATCTTTCAAAGTATTCTCAAAATTTATAGTCCTTTGGTTATGCAGGAAGCAATGCGGAGGGCTGAAGCTGCTGGAAATAATGACTGCCCTGTCAAAATTAAACTTGTTGCTCCTCCACTTTACGTACTTACCACTCAAACTCTCGACAAGGTTAGTGCAATCTTCACATAAATTTTGATATGATAATTGGCTTTTGACCTGAATTTAGTGCACATTTCGCCTTTGAAGCTTTGGCTTCAAGATTATATAAGTTGTGGATGTATAAATTTGCTACTAAAGTTTGCATTGTAAATTGTGTTTGGGGGTATTTTGGTTGTACAACTACGGTAGCAGTTATATTTACCTATTATGATTGCCATATAAGCCATTCATCTGGTGACAGCTTGAAAGGACTCACTACTGAACATTCTCCCTTGACTCCTATTTCCTTCAAAGACCATGTGGTGTTGTAAAATTATATTGCTTTGTTGTTAAAGATGTGGAAATGAAAACTCGTGGGAGTATCTCTTTCAAACCTATTATTGAGTGTGTGTCTGGAAGTTTCCTGAAAATATCTGCTGTGTTTTTTTTAACCAAATTCCCCCCCTCCCCGTGCCTCTCACTATCTCTTTTGCAGTTACTGAATATATTATATATGATGTTTGGTCTGGTAACTCCTGTTACCTAACGAGAATAGATTTATTTGTACGGGATCAATTTTTTTTTCCTACATGGTATTTGTAGATTTGCATATATGGTATACAATATCCACTATACAGGAGGCAGTTGTAGATTCGCATTAAAAGTTCCAATTGGTAACCTGTCTATTGAAAGTAATTGGTGTATTTTGTTATCGTCTGGACAGGAGCAAGGAATATTGGTTCTCAACAATGCCATTGTTTCTTGCACTGAATCACTAGAACAACACAAGGGTAAACTTGTGGTGAAGGAGGAACCCAGAGCCGTGAGTGTCAACATCCTTTATATTTGCTTCTTCTATCCTCCCTCTGTATATCTATCTATCTATGTATAAATTTTGTTCGTCTGCCTTTGGATCCTCTTCTATCTTTTGATGTCAGTATATGGAAAGTAGAATTCTAGTCTCTTTCTCTTTTGGAGGTTTGACATGGCATTGTGATTCAGGTGAGTGAACGGGATGATAAATTGCTTGCTGAGCACATGGCCCAGCTACGCCAAGACAATGAGGAGGTCAGTGGCGATGAAGACAGTGAGGAGGAAGAAGATACCGGAATGGGCGAAGTTGATGTGGACAATGGTCCTGGGATAACGGAGTGACAATAAACTTGTTGGTATAGTAAGGCATAGATAGCACACCCGAGCTTTACTAATTTTGTCTTTGATTTAATTCTTTTCAAACTGTTTTTAAATGCGATTGTATTATACCAGCTTAAATTACTGTATGTTGAGATGTCTTGTAACTTGCAAAGCGATTTTGGAGTTTCTTGAAGAGGGTGTTTAACCCAAACTAGCAGTTTACCGTCATTTCAAAAATGCTACCATCTCTCCCTCTCTTCTCATGCTATTTACGTGGCTGACATTGATTATTTTATATTATTTGATCACGGTCCTCTTAACTAACATCCGCAATTGTTACTTACGATTTCTATTTTCTAAAAATACTAGATTTTGATTATCGAATTCGTATTTTGTTGTGTTGATGTTGAGAACCATTATGGAAAGATGCAAATGCCAAGTAATCGCTTGAACTAATCACGCTTTTTTATGGGAACCTACTGATCAGACTTCTGAAACTTTGATCATGACTAGCGAGTATGACAGTGGGAGTTTATTGGAAACATTGTCTTTTATGGTGCAATTTTGATAAACTGAGAATGACAAGTCAAACGCTTCAATAATTGCCAACCATGAATTCCCGTTTTCTGTTTCTACTTCTGCTCTCTGTGGTTGAACTAACGAGAATGGTTCTTTGTTATAGTCTATGGCAAGGTTCTGACGAGCCAATATTTTCTGTTATCTCATTATTAAGAGTGATGATTGTTACTTTTTTATATGTTTTGTTTAGGAGTAACATTTTTCGTCTATTTGAGTTTGCCTAATAACATATGTTAATTGGTTGGTCTTTTTGAAAAAAGATAGTTTTATAAATGAGCATTTACTTTGAATTTCAGAAAGGCATATATTTTTATATTTGCACAAAAGTATATATATTTAGTTGAATTTAATTTATAATAAAACGGTTTGGAAAGTTAAATCATCATACCGAACAAGTGATGTTTTAATATAAAGTTTTACAACGGTGAATTCAAGTTATAAAAAAAAAATAAAAATTGTCTACCCTTGCACCAATAACAAACTTTTCATTGTCAAACTCAAGCTTGATCCAAATTTGTTTTGAGCGTTGTAAATATGCCAAATGAATGTGTTACGAACCTTCAATTCCAAAGACACATAACAACAAAGGAACAAGGAATATTGGCCTGAATAAACAGATTTTTCATATATTTATGGGAAGAAAAGACAATTACAACCTAATAGTGACAGAATCACCATTACAGATAATCCAAAATTGCAATGAAAGGAAACAGCTGCAACGAATTTAAAAGAAATGCAGTAAAAGATAGTGTGAGGCTGTTAGAGAGGTCTCAAACATGTAAGTTTGAGACGTTGGATGCCGACGTTGCCATTCAATTAAAAACTTTGTTGTAGTTAAATGAAATGACTGAGTATACTCCATTGTAAGATAGATATGTATTCATATTTATAAGAGTGTACTACAAAATAATGTGTAATAACAATAAATTTTACTAACCAATAATCAACAAAAATAGAATTTAGCTGTAGTTAAAAAGTTCAGGAGATAGGAGATCATTGGGTTATAGGAATCCATACAGCAAGAATAGTTACCGCACGCAAAAGCATTTGGGCTTGAAGTGTGGATTATTCTAACACATATAGGAAATATATAGGAATCCATAATATAATCTCATTGGGTTGTAGGAATCCATACAGCACGAATCCATAATATAATAGTTTGATTGAAGTGGTTCTTTACAACAATGGTTTCCATTCACTATATTCTACCATATGTTTTATGACTTATACGTAGAGCTCTATTATTGATCATGAAAAAATAGCCCAAAGCAGGGTTCAAGCTGATCTTAGACTTGGTTTCTAAATTGCTCTCCAGGAGCTCCATAATCAAAGCCATATGCGGAGACCGTGAAAATGACGTCCCCACTCAGTCATCAACCTTCACTAACATATATACACCTAAACGTAATTTTAGTTAACTAAACGCAAGTTTATTCATCTGACATTCTTCTTATTTGGTTTCACGTTGAAACCATTTCCGAAACTTTGATTCTGTACCTAAATTCACGTTTGATCTTATGTCATTGGAAGAATCCTGCCACCAGAAGAAGCTGGCGTTCTGGGTGTTTGAGCATCAGATTCTACACTTCCATGAAAATCACCTTGACTGAAGAATTCGTTTAAAACATTTTAAGAAAAAATAATTGCCAAAACATTTTGCTGCGCAGTTTTTATTATTAAAAAAGAATAAAACCGCACGGAAGAAAGAACCCTCTGAAATGAAAATAATATTAAATGTAGTAGTTTATAAACATTCGTGATGGCCTTAAACGTTAGACTAGCATTACAGCTTTACAGCAACTGAAATTCATAGTGATGGATCCATTATGAAGAAACACGTTGTTAACAAAGTTACACATTTTATGATGAATTTAAAAAAAAATTATAGCAATACTTCATACAATGACAAGATGTGAAAAAGTTTACCTTATGCAGCGAGGCTAGTGCACCATTAAAAACCCATGAAATTCATACAAAACTACCCCAGTTAAGTCAATGGTGTGAGTTTAGTATGTTCAACGCAAAATCACGGCAAAACTTAACCCTAAACAACTAAAAAAAAAAAAATACTACAGTCACGGCAAAACTCAACTCTTTATGACTTCGATGAGTTATATTAAATCATTCAATATAGTAAAGCAAATAACCACATTCAATGGCAACAAGATTCTAATCCAAGAGTAACTACTATGGTATTTCATTGGGATGGACTTGCTTCCATGATTTTGGACTTGAAGCTAAATCAAAAACTCAGGAATGGAAAGATTCCTTCATTAAAATAGCAGGCACAATAAAAGTTGTATAGTGCATAAGTCAAAATTCAACTAATAAAATCTCAAGACAAAATGAAATTAGAAACCAAAAGCAGTCAATGAAACTACAAAACACCCACGTCTATTCATTCCATAGATATTTAAGCAGCCGTAGTTTGTTGGGCAGCAATCCTTTTCCTAGCTTCTTCAATCACTGATAGCTTAATACCCTTACCCTTGGGAAGAGATACCCATGGTTTTGTGCCCTTGCCAATAGTGAACACATTGCCCAAACGAGTTGCAAATTCATGCCCAGTGGCATCCTGAACATGGATCGTCTCAAAGCTTCCCTTGTTCTTTTCCCTGCTCTTGATCACTCCAACTCGCCCCCTGTTCCTTCCACCAGTTACCATAACTACATTCCCAACATCAAATTTGATGAAGTCAACAATCTTGTTTTCCTCTAGATCCAGCTTAATGGTGTCATTAGCCTTTACGAGAGGGTCCGGGTAACGGATAGTCCGACCATCATAGGTGTTCAGGTACGGGATACCCTTTTGCCCAAACTGCACTGACCGCACCTTGCAGAGCTTAAACTGCCATACACACCACATACAAGTAAAACCCATGAAACTATAATCATTAATAGGAAAGTCAATTATTTATTTGGTTGTAACTCCAAAATTCAAACAATAACTACACAAAATCCTGAACTTAAACGGCATGTTCACTTCATCAACACTAGATTGTAGCCTACACACAAGAACTTAACACAATGAAAAGTTCAACCACAGCCTGTTATTTTATATAATAATAAGAATTACACTTAAGAGTAATTTTAGTTTGGGGGCAGATGGAAGAAAAATATTCAGTAATCAAATTAAAGTACCTTTGCCTCATCATCCCTGACTGAGTGGAGACGGAATCGGCCTTTAGTGTCATAAAGCAGGCGAAAGTTCTCATTGGTTTTAGGGATAGATACAACATCTGCAAAGAGACATAAAATTTGTTATATATACATACATATATATATATATATAAAGGGGTTTGATTTTCTCATGTTAAATGAGAATTCAATTCTCATTTTGTAGAGATAAAAAGCACACACACACACACACACACACACACACCCATATATAAATATGTATACACACACACATATATATATACATATAAATCCAGCCAAAACAATAGAACTATACAAACATAAAGTATGGGGAGGAGCCAGGTAGAATCCTCTGCAACTTAATTAATTACACAAATTCCAGCTCACAATTGCAAGGCATTGGACAATCTATGCAATACCAGTCGACATTGACAATGCATTGTCACACTGTGCGACAGAAACTATATCCTGCATTCTCTTGGAACAATAATCCGTGGGATTCAGTTAATAGTTAACTTACTCTTCAATTGACCAGATATATATATATATATATTAAAATACCCAGATACCTAGAGTCCAAGAAAGCTTGCTAAGTACATCAGAACACATCAAGCTCAAAACAAAATAATAATAAAATACTATAGTAATAAAATAATATAGCATAATATGTGTCCCAAAAAGGAGATATTCTATAGCTTATTGCCCTAACAAAATGAAATGTGCAGTTATTCTGAAAATGGCCATGTAGCATACATACCCATGAAGCCAGCTGGATATGTCTTGTCTGTCCTGACTTTGCCATCAACAAGGATATGGCGTTGCATCAGAATGGCAATGACTTCACGGTATGTTAAAGCATACTTCAATCGGTTTCGCAAGATGAGTATGAGAGGGAGGCATTCCCTAGATTTGTGTGGTCCAGAGGAGGGTTTAGGAGCCTATAGAGGAATAAAAAAGGATCACGTCAGTCTCCCTAATGCACAGTTTAAAGCTGGTCAAAAGATGATGAAACTTTTACTTACAAATGCACCACCCAGTTTATCAAGCATCCAATGCTTTGGAGCATTGAGCCTCTTCAAATGCTTCTTCAATCCTCTAGCCTGTTTCAGCAATAACCATTAAAATTCAAAGCTAACACAAATTGACAAAGAGATTCAAACATCAAGTTTAGCATTAAATTTGAATAGAACTTCGGGCCGGATCATATGGATTCTAAGCTGCCATGAAATTTTTATAGCAAACACAAAGAACAGATTATGTTCAAAATCCAAGCTTCCTCTGGTTGTGTCCAAAAAATACAATAAATCTTGTGCAAAGTGAAATATAGAGAAGCCTCATGCACACTTTTCAAGACATGGATCCATATACGATTATAGCATTAGAACTCCAACTAAAATTAAACGAAGAGCAACACCATGTTTTGAAATAGGTGATCTAAATTATACAGATATGGCGACACTATTATTGCAAAGCATCAAACTTTCAGTTCAAATATAACAAAAGGCGGATTAAAACTCGCAATGTCATGAAAATTGAAGATGGAATTCGAGCAAAATGCCAAAAAAAAAAAAAAAAAAAAAAACACCCAAACCAATTATGATGAGATTCAAAAAGCGTCAAAATCAGAAGTGGTAGGAGGAGCACACGAACCATCTTGGGTTTGCGAAGAAACCTAGTGCTCCACTATTACGGCAGCAAACTGGAAATTAGAAGAGAAGTTGCGACTCTTAAAATGCGAGAGGTTCATAAACCCTAATTGGTTAATGCTGGGTCATGGGCCTCATGGACCTTTTTACTATTTTATTTTATTAATCTCCTTTTACATAAGATAATTATCTTATGTTGAAAAGAGAAAATGGGTGGGTCCCACCATTACAAGAAAAAAAAAAAAGGTGGAGTAGGAAAAACGAAGTGAGAGAAAATGAGAGAAGTTATCTTATATGAAAGGAGAGTAATATTCTTCTTTACTTAATTACGGATACAGTTGGGCCTTATAGTGTAATAGATTGGGCCTAGCTGATTCCCAATTATTTCATTTCCTCAAGTTAGTAGTATATAGTGATAAAATAGGACTCTATTTTTCTCGTGACATTTTTCTTTCTTTCATCATATGGAAATTATAATTAATTATGGTTCATCTATTTTTATTTATGAGGAGGGGAAATGTTTATATTCGACTACGAACTTTATTAATCTTCTTTTACACAAGATAATTATCTTATGTTGAAAAGAGAAAATGGGTGGGTCCCACCATTACAAGAAAAAAAAAAAAAAAAGGTGGAGTACGAAAAACGAAGTGAGAGAAAATGAGAGAAGTTATCTTATATGAAAGGAGATTCCTCTTTACTTAATTACGGATACAGTGGGCCTTATAGTGTAATAGATTGGGCCTAGCTGATTCCCAATTATTTCATTTCCTCAAGTTAGTAGTATATAGTGATAAAATAGGACTCTATTTTTCTCGTGACATTTTTCTTTCTTTCATCATATAGAAATTATAATTAATTATGGTTCATCTATGTAATAGGACTCTATTTTTCTCGTGATAAAATAGGACTCTATTTTTCTCGTGATATTTCATTCCCACATATTTTCTCTCTTCAACATAAGATAATTATCTTATGTAAAAGGAGATTAATAAAATAAAATAGTAAAAAGGTCCATGAGGCCCATGACCCAGCATTAACCAATTAGGGTTTATGAACCTCTCGCATTTTAAGAGTCGCAACTTCTCTTCTAATTTCCAGTTTGCTGCCGTAGTAGTGGAGCACTAGGTTTCTTCGCAAACCCAAGATGGTTCGTGTGCTCCTCCTACCACTTCTGATTTTGACGCTTTTTGAATCTCATCATAATTGGTTTGGGTGTTTTTTTTTTTTTTTTTTTTTTTGGCATTTTGCTCGAATTCCATCTTCAATTTTCATGACATTGCGAGTTTTAATCCGCCTTTTGTTATATTTGAACTGAAAGTTTGATGCTTTGCAATAATAGTGTCGCCATATCTGTATAATTTAGATCACCTATTTCAAAACATGGTGTTGCTGTTCGTTTAATTTTAGTTGGAGTTCTAATGCTATAATCGTATATGGATCCATGTCTTGAAAAGTGTGCATGAGGCTTCTCTATATTTCACTTTGCACAAGATTTATTGTATTTTTTGGACACAACCAGAGGAAGCTTGGATTTTGAACATAATCTGTTCTTTGTGTTTGTTATAAAAATTTCATGGCAGCTTAGAATCCATATGATCCGGCCCGAAGTTCTATTCAAATTTAATGCTAGACTTGATGTTTGAATCTCTTTGTCAATTTGTGTTAGCTTTGAATTTTAATGGTTATTGCTGAAACAGGCTAGAGGATTGAAGAAGCATTTGAAGAGGCTCAATGCTCCAAAGCATTGGATGCTTGATAAACTGGGTGGTGCATTTGTAAGTAAAAGTTTCATCATCTTTTGACCAGCTTTAAACTGTGCATTAGGGAGACTGACGTGATCCTTTTTTATTCCTCTATAGGCTCCTAAACCCTCCTCTGGACCACACAAATCTAGGGAATGCCTCCCTCTCATACTCATCTTGAGAAACCGATTGAAGTATGCTTTAACATACCGTGAAGTTATTGCCATTCTGATGCAACGCCATATCCTTGTTGATGGCAAAGTCAGGACAGACAAGACATATCCAGCTGGCTTCATGGGTATGTATGCTACATGGCCATTTTCAGAATAACTGCACATTTCATTTTGTTAGGGCAATAAGCTATAGAATATCTCCTTTTTGGGACACATATTATGCTATATTATTTTATTTCTATAGTATTTTATTATTATTTTGTTTTGAGCTTGATGTGTTCTGATGTACTTAGCAAGCTTTCTTGGACTCTAGGTATCTGGGTATTTTAATATATATATATATATATATCTGGTCAATTGAAGAGTAAGTTAACTATTAACTGAATCCCACGGATTATTGTTCCAAGAGAATGCAGGATATAGTTTCTGTCGCACAGTGTGACAATGCATTGTCAATGTCAACCGTTATTGCATAGATTGTCCAATGCCTTGCAATTGTGAGCTGGAATTTGTGTAATTAATTAAGTTGCAGAGGATTCTACCTGGCTCCTCCCCATACTTTATGTTTGTATAGTTCTATTGTTTTGGCTGGATGTATATGTATATATATGTGTGTGTGTGTGTGTGTGTGTGTGTGTGTGTGTGTGTGTGTATGTATATATAACAAATCTTATGTCTCTTTGCAGATGTTGTATCTATCCCTAAAACCAATGAGAACTTTCGCCTGCTTTATGACACTAAAGGCCGATTCCGTCTCCACTCAGTCAGGGATGATGAGGCAAAGGTACTTTAATTTGATTACTGAATATTTCTCTTCCATCTGCCCCCAAACTAAAATTACTCTTAAGTGTAATTCTTATTATTATATAAAATAACAGGCTGTGGTTGAAGTTTTCATTGTGTTAAGTTCTTGTGTGTAGGCTACAATCTAGTGTTGATGAAGTGAACATGCTGTTTAAGTTCAGGATTTTGTGTAGTTATTGTTTGAATTTTGGAGTTACAACCAAATAAATAATTGACTTTCCTATTAATGATTATAGTTTCATGGGTTTTACTTGTATGTGGTGTGTATGGCAGTTTAAGCTCTGCAAGGTTCGGTCAGTGCAGTTTGGGCAAAAGGGTATCCCGTACCTGAACACCTATGATGGTCGGACTATCCGTTACCCAGACCCTCTCGTAAAGGCTAATGACACCATTAAGCTGGATCTAGAGGAAAACAAGATTGTTGACTTCATCAAATTTGATGTTGGGAATGTAGTTATGGTAACTGGTGGAAGGAACAGGGGGCGAGTTGGAGTGATCAAGAGCAGGGAAAAGAACAAGGGAAGCTTTGAGACAATCCATGTTCAGGATGCCACTGGGCATGAATTTGCAACTCGTTTGGGCAATGTGTTCACTATTGGCAAGGGCACAAAACCATGGGTATCTCTTCCCAAGGGTAAGGGTATTAAGCTATCAGTGATTGAAGAAGCTAGGAAAAGGATCGGTGCCCAACAAACTACTGCTGCTTAAATATCTTTGGAATGAGTAGACGTGGGTGTTTTGTAGTTTCATTGAATGCTTTTGGTTTCTAATTTCATTTTGTCTTGAGATTTTATTAGTTGAATTTTGACTTATGCACTATACAACTTTTATTGTGCCTGCTATTTTAATGAAGGGATCTTTCCATTCCTGAGTTTTTGATTTAGCTTCAAGTACAAAATCATGAAAGCAAGTCCATCCCAATGAAATACCATAGTAGGTACTCTTGGATTAGAATCTTGTTGCCATTGAATGTGGTTATTTGCTTACTATATTGAATGATTTAATATAACTCATCGAAGTCATAAAGAGTTGAGTTTTGCCGTGACTGTAGTATTTTTTTTTTTAGTGGTTTAGGGTTAAGTTTTAGTGAATTTGCGTTGAACATACTAATGCACCATTTTTGTACACAATCACTATTAAATATAGGCAGTAATTTTCCAACAGAGAAGTGTCAACCAGCTACTCTCATCTATTGTTAAAATAAAAGGGTAAAATGCAAGTAGTGATAATTCTGTGATTATTTGCAATATAAGATAGTAAAGCATCTCTACAAGTTGACTGATACTTTGAAAAATGGAAACTAATACAGTCATATTAGTTTCATTATTTCGTTACATTCTAAAACTAATATTATTCAATCGTCATCTCACACAAAATCACATCATTAGCTTGACAAAAAGATAAATAAACAAGGAAGGTAAAGAATAGAGTCATGATCATTACAAACATAAATATGTAATGTTATAAAATGCATGTATGTTGAATCAGATTGAAGTACAAAGTAATCAACAAAGCTGGAGTACTTAGTAATATTAACTATTACCCGTATGCAAGTATAATAATATTAATACATAAGGAGAATGCACTTATTAAGGATAACTATTACCGAACTATTTCGTTTAAACCTGTTCAGAGAACCAAGCGAAACTAGTCTTTAACTATTAGTATTTTTTTTTCCTCTTATAATTGGTCCTCAACTAGTTCAGAACTAAAATCAGTTCAGAAAAATAAAAAAATAAAACTAATTCAGTTCGCCGATTTCCCGAATGAAACCACTAAAACCGGTTCGGTTTGAATTAGCATAAAAAAACATTGAGCAAGCATTGTTTAAATCCCCATTTTTTTAGAAGGAAGATAGAAGATGCTAAGCTAAGCTATTGAACGAAGAAGCTCTTGAGGAAAGGAAGAGAAAGGTAAGCTTGTGTTGCTAGTGTTCCACTGCTGCTGTTCCAGAAAGAGATCAGAAATTAGGAAATGGGTGAAGTTTCACTGAGTCTGTTAAGAAGAAAGAAAGAAGAAGAAATAAAGGAAAAAAAAAATTAAAAGGTACCTAAACACGTCGTCTCTTCTTCCATGTTGTCCCACATCCAAGCCCCGTCAGCACACTAACGTGCCACTTGGGCACAGTTAGTTTGGCCGTTACAGTGGACTTCACAGAAGAACTAACATGGCCCCCTTTTTTTGTTATTTTAGGGACCAATTGGGTCCTTTTTAATTGCCAGAGACTGAAAAAGATTTTGTGGATATTTCCGGGAACTAAAAAGGGTATTTACACTTTTAAAAAATATGATGAAAACATCCATTTTAAAAAATATGATAAAAACATTCAATTTATGATAGGAAAAAGTATTTGTCATTTTAAATGATAGAAAATTATATCATTTTAAGAGAGATACAGACACAGAAAATTTGAATTTTAAATTAAAAAAAAAATCACTCACCTTCTCTCTTCCATGATTTCTGTTTTTCTATGTTTATCTCTCTCATAAAATGACATAACTTATAAAATGACAAATATCAAACCATTTATGATAATATTCGAAAATTAAAAATTTAAAAAAATTCAATTTCTAAAAATCTCAAAAAATAACTTATACCAAATACCTCTAAAAATACGTCATTTGAGATCCAAAGGACAACCCCATGTTGAAAAGATTGCAGACATTCAAACCCCCATCAATTGGGTGATTGAAAACAACAACCTTTGATCTACATGTTAACTTCTTCCTCGTAAAGGCCAAGTCCTTCTCTCTCTCTCTCTTGTCTTTGTTACATCATAATATATTTTTCAGAGTTAGATCTTCAAAAACTTAACGAGTACTGCTATATCTCTCTGTCACTGTCTCTTTTCTGTTTTACTTTATAGTATCAAGAATGGCAATTTCAATTGAAACCCTCTTCAAAGAAAGAAAGTACCCTTTCATTTTCACCCTCTTGGTCTTACTCGTTTGCGTCACGATCCTCTTCTTCACCAACATCACTTCCACCTCCACCATCGACCCAATTGGCTTCTATCCTCCTGATGTCAAAGCGCAACCAGCTCCTACACTCGCAGATTCTTCCACAAGTCCTAAAGACCAAGAACTGCCCCGAAACATGACCAAGATTACAGCCCCGAAAGACCAAGGTTTACCTCAGAAGGAGGTGGTTTTCGGCAATGTGAATATCGATTGGAAGCTTTGTAAGGGTGCTGTGGCTGTAGATTATATACCATGTTTGGATAATCTTAAGGCCATTAAGGCTCTGAAATCAAGGAGGCACATGGAACACAGGGAGAGGCATTGTCCTGATTCTAGTCCCCACTGTTTGCTGCCCCTTCCCAAAGGGTATAAAGTCAGGGTTCCTTGGCCTAAGAGCAGAGACATGGTGAGATTGATACTTCGGTAAGAAAATTTCTAGTTTTTAATGGTTGGTTGGTTGGTTGGTTGGTTGCATATGATTTTTGTCAGTGGAGAAAACGTTTGATGCGTTGATATTGGTTAAAGATAGTATAGTATAACCTTTTCTTCTAAGAAAATTCTTATCCTGATATCTTTTTTTTTGCATTTTGTTTGCTGATCTTCTATTGAAAGAAACTTTGCTAGAAATTTCTGGCGGCACTTTTCACTTCCAGTTTGCATTGTCATAACTTTCCTCATGAAATGTACTTCTGGTTCTGGTTATAGATTTGGTATGATAATGTCCCTCATCCAAAGCTTGTTGAATACAAGAAGGAGCAAAACTGGGTGGTGAAGTCGGGTGAATATCTTCGCTTTCCGGGAGGTGGTACTCAATTCAAAGAAGGAGTTGACCATTACATTAAGTTCATAGAGAAGGTATATATTACAATGTGGTTTCTCATAATTTGCCTAAACTATCATATGTCATATGTGCGTTAATTTTTATTTTTCTTTCCCCATGTTGTATAGTTATAGAAGTAGAGAAACTGCAATAAACTCTTGAAAAAGGACCAAAAGAGGAGATTTGGGAGGAGAGAGGGATAGGGACCGAGATGGAACTTTTTCTTCTGTTTTATTCACCTGTAAACAATTCCTTTAGAGAGTGAGCCTCTTATCATAATAATGGTGTTAGTCTAAGAACCAAGAGATTTGAATCTAGGCCACCATAAGAACAAATTTATCCTGCTTTGCCTACAGATTGATATTTTGTCTAAAAGGCATGAAGATCTGAGCTTAGGATTGGTCATACTCCGAAGGAGCTATAAAAGTTGATAAAATTTGTTTCCTTTTGTTTTATGAGTTCCAAACAATGTTAATTTTTATTTATGCATGACTTAATTAGTAGCTTGCACATGTTCTGCTATTAGAACTAGATTTTGATGTAGTTCTTGAATGCTTACTATGTCTAGTGGTTTTCTGAATGTCTTTTGGCCAGACACTACCAGCAATCCAATGGGGAAAGAATATCAGGGTTGTTCTAGATGTTGGTTGTGGAGTTGCTAGCTTTGGTGGCTATCTTCTGGACAAAAATGTTATAACTATGTCATTTGCACCAAAGGATGAACATGAAGCTCAGATTCAGTTTGCTTTGGAGCGAGGAATTCCTGCAACTCTTTCTGTCATTGGAACTCAAAAGTTGATATTTCCTGACAACGGATTCGATTTGATCCATTGCGCACGATGCAGGGTGCATTGGGATGCAAATGGTACTTCCTATCTTCTGACTTAGGTCCATATCAGGACAGCCTTCTATAATTGCCTTACATGTTCCATTTATATAATCTTTGACAAAAAGTGTTTGCTCAAAAATCTGGTTCATGACTATAGGTGGGAAACCATTATTTGAGCTCAATAGGATTCTTAGACCTGGTGGTTTCTTTGCATGGTCTGCAACACCTGTTTATCGTGATGATGAAAGAGATCAGAAAGTATGGAATGGTTTGTCTCTCACACCCCACCTTCATGCATATGCCTTTATTTGTCATTTTGTCTCCTTCTCTCCCTAACGTTTAAACTTTTATCTTTATTGACAAGATATCTTATTTAATGCGTGGTATGACCATGACACCACTAACCCCACACTCGCTAGTCGGGTTTAACGGGGAGTGGTTTTTTTTTTTTTTTATGTTTAAGGAAAAATATATATTTTATTCATCTCAAACATGGGGTTTTTTGATTTCCTGAAGAATGTTAGAAAACATCCAAATTCTTCTAAAGATAGACATTGTTGTCCTTGTGTTCCGCAGCCATGGTGACTATAACAAAAGCAATGTGCTGGACTGTTGTGGCTAAGACTCTTGATTTATCTGGAATTGGGCTTGTTATATACCAGAAGCCTACTTCATCTTCCTGCTACGGGAAACGCAAAGAGAACAATCCTCCTTTATGTGCAAATAACGAAAGGAAAAATAGCACATGGTATATGCTACACTTTTTTGGTTGTATTTCTCTGACATTTATATTTCCACCAAATTCTAGTTTGTGGTCCCATCACATACCTTATAAACTAGCCCCGGGCAAACACTAGAATGCCAATGTCACAAGTTGCAGTTATCAGTTGATACAAACCTTAGGAGAACCTCACTCAAAAAGTTAGCTTGTAAGGTAGGAGAGCTCAAAGTCCATATAAACCCCACACCAAAATTTTATGTTTGCGATGTAGGACTCCAAGTCCCGTACCTTACAATTGGACCGTAATGTAATGTCAACATGAATTGGAAGTAATCGAGTAAATTTTTTATAGTTCTTTGTGTTGATGTTTTGGCTTTCTGATATTCATATACAGTGTGAGATCAACTAAACATTTTGCATCAATTTTTAGTATATATTGTTTAAAAGGAGACCATAGAAAATGTTCATGGACCATAGCAAGCAATGCTAAACATATTGTTACTGCTGTTAGTTTAATTTCTATCTTTGCTAATTTTCTTTGCACGCTTTTGTTAGGTATGCCACACTCAGCAGTTGCCTTACTCCTCTTCCAGTTGATAATGCGGGTAACCTGCAAAGCTGGCCCATGCCTTGGCCCCAGAGACTTACCAGTATACCTCCTAGCTTATCTACTGAATCAGATTCCACCGAGATGTTCTATAAGGACAGCAAACGTTGGTCTGAAATAGTTTCAGATGTTTATAGGGATGGTCTTTCTATAAACTGGTCGAGTGTTCGAAATATCATGGACATGAATGCTGGTTATGCAGGGTAAAGTATATTTAGTTAGAGAATACCTTCTTTATTTTTTTCTTTTTGTCTCTTCCCTTTTAATTGCGAGCTGTGGTAATGCTGCTCTCTTTGTGACCAAAAGATTACGGGTTCGAATCTGAAAATAGTTTTTTTAAAGACTGCATACAAGGATCATCCTTACCCCTACTCTCTAGTTGGAGTTTTATGGAGAGTAAGTTTGCGTATAAGCATTATCCTCACCCATACCCTTGCTAATTGAGATTTAACTGGGGGGGGGGGGGGGTGTGGTTTTTCTCCCCTTTAAATTCTTTTAGTAGAATATAGCTTTCATTTTGACGTTATTGGTAGATCCAAATGCTTGATCTCTCCTGCAGACTCATGTATAGCTTTATTATGTCACTCTTCTCTGACATTTACATTATCTGTCATAACATCAACACAAATTGGTTGGTTATCCTCCAATCTTTATTTTTTTTTTCAGATTTGCTGCCGCAATCATTGATCTACCAGTGTGGGTGATGAATGTAGTACCTATTGATATGCCAGATACTCTTTCTATTATATATGACAGAGGGTTAATAGGAACGTATCATGATTGGTGCGAGTCTTTGAATACCTACCCTCGCACATATGATCTTCTTCATTCTAGCTTTCTCTTCAAAAGTCTTGAGCAAAGGTATGACTAAACTAATGCCTATTCATGTTTTTTAAATGTTTTATGTCCTTTCTCATTTTATTATTTGAAACTCTGTGAGTCTAGCTCTACTATATCTAGCATAAGTATGTGTTAAGATATGATTCTCACATTTTTGCAATAATGTTTGTCAGATGTGACATGGTAGATGTAGTTGTGGAGATAGATCGCATATTGAGGCCAGATGGGTATCTCCTGGTTCAGGACTCTATGGAAATTATTAGCAAGCTTGGTCCGGTCTTGCGTTCACTTCATTGGTCTATTACATTGCATCAAAATCAGTTTCTTGTTGCTAGGAAGAGTTTCTGGCGTCCAAGTTCATGAAATTTTGATTGATGAATATTGTTGCTCATCATATCCTATATATTCTTCAATGTATGGTTACTCATCATTTTATTTTATTCTAATACGGATATAAAATTAAAACAAAGAAGGTAAATTCTTTTGACAGGCAATACGAATGAGATTTCTGAATTCTGTAGATTATATATATAGAGAGGGATTTATTAATCTCCTACAGTAGGAGATGACTTACCGCATGCTATATATAAACAAGTTATGTGGGTTCCATCATTTTTAAAAAAATAAAAATAAAAAAATGGCACGGCTTTTCATGTCTCACTTGCATAAAAAAATTCTCTTCGTCAACATAAAATAATTTAAACACACACACATATATATATATAGCGCGGGATTATTTTTATGTAAATGTAAGTTACTTTTTTAATTTTTTTAATTGATCTTATTTATGTCTAACACCTCTAGTTTGTTAGATATTTTTGAGGCATTTGAAACAAGTAAATTAATGATCAAAAGACTTTTTATTCTTATATCGGTGTAAGAATAATCTGATTTGTCCACTATAACTATGTATTCGAAAGACTATATAGTTATAATATTAAAAGTTACTTTTATTTTTTTTCTTCAAAATTTCTTTCAAAAATTGTGGGCCAAAAAGTTTGATCCAATAGTAATACACACGTAGGCACACACGTCCGCGTACATATAGACAAAGGGAGGGATATATCTATCTATATATATATATATGAGTTTATATTTCTGCAGTTGTTGTACGTGCAACAATTAAATACTTACCATATATATATTTAAAAGCAGTAATTGCGGGAAATCATAATCATACACCTGTCGTTGCTGTATGTAAAGTGGCTGCAGAAATGATTTTATCATACATATATATATATAGGGAAAAACATTTCTACAGCCGTTTTAGATAAGTTTGTCTACAGCTATCACTTTTTAACTAAGTATGATCGGTCATACTTTAAAATTGCATTTTCTCTTTCCGTCATGTCAGCCGACAGTGTATGAGGAGAGAAAAAAAAAGAACAACTTTATTCTTATAACTAAGTATGACCGATCATATTTAGTTAAAAAGGGTAGCAGTAGATAAGCTTATCTAAAGTGGTTGTAGAAATACTTTTCCCATATATATATATATATATATATATATGGGTTTTATTTGTATCAAGTAACAGGACCAATTACTTTTTTTCCTGCTGATAGAGTGAGATATGGGTCCCACGCAAGAGAAAAATAAAAAAATAAAGAAAACAAAAAACGCTGCTTTCGATGGGAGAGCAGGAACATGACGGAAAACGCTGTTTACTGTTATAAAAAAAAAAAAAAAAAAAAAAAAAAAAAAAAACAACATGTTTACAGTAACATGACAATTATATATATATATATATATATATATATATATATATATATATATATATATATATGAGATAGAATCCTTTGACACCTCATTTGAGAGCCATTAGATAAAAAAAGATCAATGACTCTGATTTGTAAGCATCTGATACCATTGATCTTTTTTGATCTAATGGCTCTCAGATGAGGTGTCAAATTTCAAATTTGACACTGGTGTCAAAGGATCGTACCTATATATATATATATATATAGGCTTTAACATTTCTACAATGAATGTAGATAAATTATCTATATTCGCTTCCAAAACGACGTCGTTTTGGGTTGAAAAATTAAAAACTTATAATAAAAAAGACTATTATAACCCTGAAATAAATTACAATTACAAAAATTCCTTGAATCTTGTCTCAAAACGGCATCGTTTTAGGTTCAATGTAGATAAATTATCAATATTTTTTTAGTACACAAATTATCTACATTAACTGTAGAAAAAGTAAACTCATGTGTGTGTGTATATATATATATATATATATATATATATATATATATATAGGGGTAAACATTTCTGCAGCCACTTTAGATAAGCTTATCTACAGCTACCGTTTATAACTATGTTCTCCCGGGAGAACATAGTTATAACGCAAAAATTGTTTTTTTTCTCTCTCCACGTCAGCAGACAGGTTCTGAAAAGTAATTGAGGAGAGAGAAAAAAGCAACTTTTAATGTTATAACTATGTTCTCCCGGGAGAACATAGTTATAAACGGTAGTTGTACATAAGCTTATTTAAAGTGGCTGTAGAAATACTTTTGTCATATATATATATATATATATATATAAAAGTATTTCTCCAGTCACTAGAGATAACTTAGCTCAAATCGACGTCGTTTTGAGTTATAAGATTAAAAAAGTATAATTATAAATACTAATATAACTATGTAATATATTATAATTACAAAAATACCTTGATTTTCGTCCCAAAATGACGTCGTTTTGGACTCGCCAGAAATAACTTATCTCCATTGACCAGAGAAATCCTTTACCCATATATATATATATATATGTATGTATATATGTATATATATATATAGGGCTTGCAATTTCTCATAGAAAAGTGATTGACACACATCGAAGTGAGAGTGATAAAAGATGAGACTTCTTATGCAAAATGAGAAGTCTTTTTTCCATATATGTATATGTGAACACGTGTGTGTGTTTTATCTATTTAAATGAATTAAATTTAAAGACTGAACTTGGTATGCTTAAAAACATGAATTGTGAGTGGAACACGCGCGCGCTCCGCGTGATCAAAACAAAACACAGAATTTCCTCTAAGCGATATAGATTATTTTTATTTCATTATTTATCATACACGCATTTTTCGTCGTGAATTCATTATGGTTATTCATTATATAAATACACGCATATTTATTCATTATTCATTATTTATCATAGACGCACGCATATTTATATAAATACAATACCGCCGCTGGCCGCGGTTCTAGCACCTTGCCACCGCCAGAACCTCCCGGCAGGAAGGGCACGACGAGTGAGACTCGAGCCACGCGTCTATGCATCCCACGTGGAAACCGTGCCGGCAATGCGGCAGCACCCGAATGTCGTCGCCGGCGGTAAACTCCTCCAGGCAAATCGCGCATTCAGGCGTAGCCACCCACTTGCTCGGGTCGCTGTCGACGTAGGCGAACTTGGGAAGCGACTGGAGCACCTTCTTCTTCAAGCCCTTGTTCGCCAGAGCTTGCCGATAAGAGCTTCCGGCGCCGGTGCCACGCAGGAGCCACGTGCATCGGACGACGGCGACGATCACCACCACCGATATGAGGGCACAGAGCAGGGCGGAAAGAATCACCAATAAATATGATTCAAACGCAGCGGCCTCCGGCGGAGACGCCTCCGCACGCATGGTGTAGGTAGATAATTATACAGAACTTGAATTGGAATTGGAAGCTTAAGCTTAAATTTTTCTTCTCATCATGGTTTTTTTTTTGTTCTCTCCCTCTCTTAGTTCGCTGCCAAAGAAGAGTGTCTTCTTTTCTCACACAAAAAGAACAAAGTTGTTGTATAAGAAAAATTTCATAAGATCTAAAAAGTGTTTGTCTATATACCACTTTCTGTTTGAATTATGGATTATAATGCATACTGTAATTGGACAGGCATTTATAAAAAGTATGCATTTATATGTTTTTTTTTATATATATATATATATAGGGTTTTATAAGAGTTATGTTGTAGGAAAAATGATTGTGTAATGTTATAGAGATTCGTTTTGCTTTGCGTGCCTTAATTTTTTATTTATTTTTTTGTTTTAAAAAGTTTGAGCCTCACAAAATATTGTGAGTGTAGGAAAGTTTGTTGTGTTATTTTAAAGGATAAAAAGAAAACTCATATATATATATATATATATATATATATATATATAAGCTCCACACATGCATGTACATGATTTCTGGCTTTTCTTGGTACTATTTGACAGACCATGTGCAATTCATTGGTGGCAAATGGCAATATTATTAAATCCGGGAAGCTTATTAATTCGGTTGGGGTACGACTCAATAGATTACTCGTTCAAATCAATGAGTTAAATTAATTTATGTAAATATTATAATATATGAGATTAGTATTTATCTTTTTAAATGATATAGAGTAATGTCATTTAAGTCAAAACTATAATGTTTCACGGTGAAAAAAATAGTTACACAATAAAATAATTATGGTGGGAGTAAATGAGAGATTTTTTAATTTAAATATTAAATAAAAAATAATTATTTTAAACAAAATGTCCGTCCTTTAGAAGAAAAAAACATTTTTGACATAATAAATATATAAATAGTACGACAATTAAAGTGATCCAACTTAGAGATTAGTATTTCATTTTCTTTCCTTAAATGTCAAATTTGAATCACAAAAGTAAAATTGGAATAGTGACCAAAATGCCACGGTTTCTTAAGTTTTTTCTCCAAATGCCACGTGCAAACAGTGTTATTTCTCAATATGCCACACGGGCAAGTTCGCTACAGTGTCCAGCGAACTTGGTAGCCAATGATTTCGTTACACGTGGCATATTTTCGCAGGAAAAGCTGACTGTCACGTGTCCAAGTTCGCTATGACTGGTAGCGAACTTAGTAGCCAATGATTTCGTGCCACGTGGCAAATTTTTGCAGAAAAAGCTGACCGGACGAAGTTCGCTACCAGGTGTAGTGAACTTCGTGCGCTAGGTGGCACAATCTCGTTGCCCAATCAGAATTAATGTACCAATCACACTCAAAAAATAGAAAACGAAGGAAAATGACTATTAATTGTAATTAATGTATTAGTAACAATTAATGTACCAATCACCAATCACAATTAATGTATCAATCACAATTCACAATTAATTTTGATCACAATTAATATATCAATCACCAATCACATTAATTTTGATTGGTACATTAATTGTGATTGGTGATCGGTACATTAATTTTTTGTGATACTATTGTAACAAATTCAAACGATATTTGTGAGAGATAAAATATGCAAAATGAGGTGTCATTGAGTAGATCTCAAAAAATCATGTGAAATAAAATAAAAAATATCTGATTTGGATATCCGAATCAAAAGTTATGGCCCTCCGAAGTGATTGGTGATTGATACTTTAATTATGATTGATACAGTCAAAAGTTAATCTCATTGGTATGCTAATTGTGATTGGTGATTGGTACATTAATCGCGATTGGTGATTAGTATATTAATTTTGATTGGTACATTAATTAATAGTCATTTTCCTTCGTTTTGTTTTTGTGATTGGTACATTAATTCTGATTGGGCAACAAGATTGTGCCACCTAGCGCACCAAGTTCGCTATCCTTGGTAGCGAACTTCGTCCAGACAGCTTTTCTTGCAAAAGTATGTCACGTGTCACGAAATTATTGGCTATCAAGTTCCCTACCGGTAGTAGCGAAACTTGGACACGTGACACTCAACTTTTTCTACGAAAGAGTGCCACGTGTAACGAAATGATTAGCTACCAAGTTTACTGGGCTCTGTAGCGAACTTGCCAACGTGGCATATTGAGAAATAACATTGTTCGCGTGGCATTTGGTTAAAAAACTTAATGAACAGTGACATTTTAGTCACTGTTCCAATAAAATTGTGGGGGAATATTTTGCTATGATTTTCAAAAGTTGATTCAACTAGAAAATCAATAACGAGTTAGCAACTAATTCAAACTGCACCAGTTTTTGACTAGATTACATGATCATTAATTACTTGAATCGGATGAGTCAGTGGCCAGATTCTCAGTTCAACCAATTCAACCAGTCTGGTCGGGTCGATTTTAATAACATTTGTGGGTGGTATTTTGAATTCATGTTTCGATATAAATATCTTTATTATCCAACACATGTGATTGTTGAGAGCTAGGGAGAAGGTGAATTAGTTTGAACTCCTTTAAAAGTCACCACGATTTGAATTTCCTTCCTTGATATAAATATTGCTATTCATTTTTTTAATGTTCTATTATGTTTCTTTAATTACTACAGGCATTAAGCTTTTCCCTGTATAATGCTTGTTATATTGCAGTATTGCATGTTTAACCCCTTCTAAATATGTTTGTCCATTAGTTCTGACAAGAGAGAAAGGATTATAGAAAGAAACCCTTATTTATGTGTTTTATATATAGAGAAAAATATTTCTCAAACTGCTTGAGATATATTTATCTCCGCTCATCCCAAAACTATGTCGTTTTGTTTATTTATATTCTTATATTAATTGATTCACTTTGAATGGTTATGATTTCTTTTTTCTCTCTATTCCTTTATCACCATTGATCCATCTTTGTAGGGTTATGATTTCGTAGCCGAAGATAAAATTATCTCAAGCAGCTTGAGAAATAACAAGCTTTTATATATATATATATATATATATATATATATATATATATATTAGTTCCTGTTTGATACTTTGATATATTTTATATATTAGTTTTTTAAAAAAAAACTGAAGTTTTATGAAACATAATTTTATAAAAACTTTTATTATGAAAGGATATTTTTGTATAATGATGAAAAAATTAAAAAATAAAAAACTCTCGCAAAGAGTTGTTTTTAAGATATTTAATTTTGTGGAGTCTTTATATTTATTTTATAATTTTATCTTTATTTTGAACTTGAATTTATAAATTTTATTATTTACTCTAATAATTCATTTTAATAATAAATTATTTCATATTCTCATCTTCAAAATCATCAGATCAGCTTTATACAATCAGATGTGCAGACTATTTCTCGAATTGCCTTTCGGTTATAGTGGGATCTGTAACTTTTCAACATCAACAATATCTTTATCTCAAATTAACTAGGGTTGTTGGTAGATAAACCTAAATAAAAGATACGAAAGGGTTAAAAAAAGATAAAATAAAAATAAATAAAATAGTAATATATATATATATATATATATATATATATATATATATATAAGTGATAAAAGCAGGGGAAAGAAGAAGAAGGGGGAGATGAAGAGGAAAAAGGACTAAAAAGAAACCATCTAGAACATAGGAATAACAATGAGGAAAGAAGAAGAAGAAGGGGAAAAAGGACTAAAAAGAAACCATCTAGAACATAGGAATAACAACGGGTCTAACCCTCCACCATGCTTATAGTTTTTCTCCATTTTGTTATAAGGCACACCGTCCGCCAATCTATATCCTAAATTCTCAATCCATTATGTCTTGCTTTACTACTTTCTGAAGAAATATGTCATGGTTATAGTTTTTCTCCGTCTCGTCATTTGCCATCAGTATTCAGACAGAGCTTTCTATTATTGCTTCTTCATGTAAAATAATTTGATTAGATAAAGTAGGCGCCGGTTTGCTTTGACAAGCAGAAATTTCAAGTACAACAAAGAGATTTATGTTTCTTGATCAGGTATTTTAACTGTCATGGTTAAATTCCTTTAACCTTCTAACATGACTGTGGTATACTGAATTCTACTAAGGAAGATTCATACTATTAAAGCTTAAATATATATATTTTTCAACCACCGAATAACTATAAGATAAATTTTAATACAGTGTTGATTATATGCAAAACGCAGCTTAAACGCCTAAAGGTGTGTCATGCCACTTTGATCTCAAAGCATAATCAACGACAATTATAAAAAGGGTTTTATAAGAGTTATGTTGTAGGAAAAATAATTGTGTAATGTTATAGAGATTCGTTTTGCGTGCCTTAATTTTTTATTTATTTTTTTGTTTTAAAAAGTATGGACCCCACAAAATGTTGTGAGTGTAGGAAAGTTTGTTGTATTATGTTAAAGGATAAAACGAAAACCCTTTAAAAAAAACTTTGCAGGACCAAATTAAGCCATATAATCGTAATCCCCATTCAAATTAAACATTAAAAAGATCGACCAATAAATAAATGGTATGCCATTTATGCGCATAAATTCAGAAGAAAACACAGGGAGATTGGCGTCTATTTTATAAATTACAAGAGACAAAACTATGTAGAAATGACAGAAACAATACTTAATAAACCCAACGCGGGACTACCTACACTACACCAAATTTTTTTTATTAATAAACGACTACAATATGCAATCATGCCCCACTGTTAGAACAGGGATGAATCCACAACAAATGGTGTTGAAATTATTAATAAAAAAAATAAAACCCCAAGTTAGCCTAAACTAAGAATCGAGATTGGGTGATGAAAGGGTTAGGGTTTGGAAATCCAAACCCAAAACCAAATCTGACTCAACCGGTTGCTGTCGCTGAGAAAGTGATAGAGCAAGAGCAGCGTCGAATGAAGTGGGGCTTCAAACCAACCAGCTCTGACTAACAGCTACAAGTGACGATGGGTAAGAGTGTGATGTAAAAATGGGTAAACCAGAAATAGATGGTCCTCAGCTATGGCATACGACAATGAAGGAATATAGATGAAGTAGACAACTAGATGATAGTTAGTTCACAGGGGTGAGAAGAAGAGAGAGAGCAGGGACTTGAAATGGGTGAGAAGAAACTTGGAATGAACACAGAGAAAGAGAGCTTGGACCGAAGAGAAGAGAGAGAACAGGACTTGAAATGATTAATATAAAAAGTAAAATAAAAAAATAAATTGAATGTAACGGCCAGCCTCCCAGACTCCAAGGTCGGGCTTACTAATAGAAGCTTGAGGCCTTTTAAACAAAAAAACTTTTATAGGAGTACAATTTTGAGCCCAATAACTAAAAAAGACGGGTCGGGCCAAGCTGAAACAGGTCGGGCCTAAGGCTCCTGACAGACCCCTAGCCTTATTATCACCCCTAAGTGTGTGTCTATAAGTTAAGTGTAAGTTTCTGATTCATCATGTGCCTCTCTCACTATCTCTTTTGCAATTATTGAATATATATATATATATATGTAGAGGTAGGATCCTTTGACACCGGTGTCAAATTTAAAGTTTGACACCTCATCTGATAGTCATTAGATCAAAAAAGATCAATGGTGTCACATGCTTACAAATCAGAGTCGTTGATCTTTTTTGATCTAACGGCTATCAGATGAGGTGTCAAATTTTAAGTTTGACACCGGTGTCAAAGGATCATGCCTCATATATGTATATATATATATATATATATATATATATATATATATATATAGAGAGAGAGAGAGAGAGAGAGAGAGAGAAAGAGGATCAAATCATTTGATATCAGTGTCAAACTTAAAAGTTTGACACTAAATTTTAACTGTTAATTTATGTCAATCGACGATTATAATTATTGAAAATTACTAATTAATTAATAAGTATGACCCAATAAATTATAACTGTCAGATTGGCAAAAATCAACGGTTAGAATTTAATGTCAAACTTTTTAATATGATACCGATGTCAAAAGATTCTGCCTATATATATATATATATATATATATATATATATATATATATATATATATATATATGTATGTATGTGAATATAAGAGAGATATTTTGACTCAGATTAAGACTTTGAAGTATTACTCCTCATTACAGTCGTTGATTTTCGTCCATCTAACGATTGTCACTTATTTGAAATTAATAGTTAATTAATTAGTAAAACTCAATAAATTATAACCGTTGGATGGACATAAATCAACAAAGTCTTACTCTGGAGTCAAAAGATCCTTATATAGGGCAGGATATAATCCTATCATTTGATGTCAAAATGATCCTGACCCTATATATATATATATATATATATATATATATAGAGAGAGAGAGATAGGATTTTTTGACACTTGTGTCAAATTTAGAAGTTTGACACCAAATCGTAACATTGATTTTCGTCAATCGACGGTTATAATTTATTAGAGAATAACTAATTAATTAATAAATTTGACCTAATAAATTATAATCGTCAGATTAACAGAAATCAACGGTTAGGATTTATTATCAAACGTTTTATTTTGAGACCAGTGTCAAATGATCCTGCTCTCTCTATATACATATATATGAGAAAAATATTTCTCCGGCAACTTGAGATAAATTTATCTCCGGCCACCTCAAAACTACGTCATTTTATTTATTTATTTTCTTATATTAATTGATTCAGCTTTGAATGGTTACGATTTCCATTTTCTCTCTCTTCCTTTATTACCATTGATCTATCTTTGTACGGTTGTGATTTAGTAGTCGGAGATAAAATTATCTCAAGCAGGGCTTATCGTTTCTCAAGCTGCCGAAGATAAATATAAATTACAAAAACACTGAAATAAAGACTATTATTGAAATCTTAAAAAATTATAAATATAAAGACTATTATAACCTTGAAATAAATTAAAATTACAAAAACACCATGATTTTCGTCCCAAAACGACGTCGTATTGAGCTTACTGCAGATAACTTATCTGCAGTAACTGCAGAAAAAACGAACCCTATATATATTAAGACAGTTAAAGATAAATATAAAAATTATAAACATTTCTTCCGATCTAACTATAAATGACTTCAAATACTTTTCAGATTCTCATTAATAATTATGCTTTACCTAAAATTATTTAACTAGTATGATGATAAATATGATTCCACTATAGTATAAATTGTTTTAATTTTGATCATAGTCAATTACCTCTATTTATTTGCCATATATTAAAAAGATTTTTTTACTAAATTAACAACTATATTAGATACTGAAGTCTCGTAGTAAATATAATGACGAGATTAATATTTCTCAATTATGTGTTTATAGAAAAAAACATTAAATCCTATAATAATATATAATAAAATATAAAACCACTACCTAATGCAGACTATTTCTCTTCAGCATGCCCACTGTATGCAAACAAACATTGCACCTCATTGAAATAACACAAATGATTCCTCTAGTAAGCCCACACGATGAAGGCCCTGGAATACAAAGAGCACAAAAAATTTACAGTGACAGAGAATAAAGTTTGAATTCAAAAAACTTTGCAATAAACTTCGAGCTACACCTTTAACAATTTAAAAAAATAAATAAATTTGAAATTTAAAAAAATAAAATAAAATAAAGATAAGCTTCTGCTTCACAAGGAAGGTTTCTGAATATGCTAACTAGTAATGAAAAGAACCTAGCCTGAATTACACATTATCCATTTATGAATCCCCAACTACTCCTTTTTATCTCTGTGCCCCTCTCTTCATTGTACTTACTGTACTACACTAACAGTACTCTTTCACAACAACCACTACCACTAATGTGGCCATGGCGTATCCGAACCACTCCTCCTCCACCATCTCGATCCCGTTCCTGCAGTTTCTCCTGCTCTTCTTTCAAAGACATTCAAACCCTCCTTCAACCCGAACCCGTACCCGAACCCGGATCACCTAAATCTCCCTCCCTCTTTCGCCGCCCTCGGGTCTCCACCTCCCTCCTCCGCTCAATCAGCTCCCGCTCCTCCGTCGCATTGCCGCCGGAATCCGACCACGGAGACGCCGTCGTCGTCTATTACACCAGCCTCCGCGTCGTTCGCCGCACCTTCAACGACTGCAGGGCCGTCCGGTCGATCCTCCGAGGGTTCGCCGTCGCGATCGACGAGCGCGACGTGTGCATCGACAACCGGTTCCTCGAGGAGCTGCAGGGAATCCTTGGCCGCCGGAACGTGCCGCTTCCGAGCGTGTTCGTGGGCGGCGTTTACATCGGCGGCGCCGACGACGTTAGGAGGATGCACGAGAGCGGTGAATTGAAGGCGTTGATCGAACGGTTACCGAGATCGGAGCCGTACGCGTGTGATTCGTGTGGAGGGCTGAGATTCGTTGTGTGCGACGAGTGTGATGGAAGCCATAAGGTTTTCACGGAGAAGAGCGGGTTCAGGAGCTGTATATCTTGTAATGTTAACGGTTTGATCAGGTGTCCTGCATGTTTCTTCGTGCTCCCGCGACACAGCAAATAATTGCCTGTCGTAAGTAACAAATAAGAAAGGAAATGAAAGAAATATATCGATTTTCGCAATTTGTTAATAAAATTAAAAACTTTGATTTATATATAGGCTGCTTTGATTCAGGGAATTTCATGTGAATAAATATTTGAAAATTTCAAATATTCCTTCTAATAATCAATCCTATCATCATCATAATTGAGGGTTTTGTTTTTGGTCATTACAATATTATTGGGCCACAATCATAATTGGACTTTCTTTTGGGCTGGCCCAATTCTTCATTTCCTCTACCATTGGAGAAGTTTCTGCTTGCATTGGCCGAGTTCTGTGTAACACAAATTTTGAATTGATTCTCATCTCACCATCGTTTGTAAATGACACCACCTCGTTTCAGTTAGATTGTAATTTATTTTTGAAAAAAAAAAATTGACAAAAAAGAATGAGAAATAAGTAGAATTCACATATATTTATGTTAGTCAACATCTCAATAGAATTAGAATGAAGCCAATTTCAAGTGGCAAGTCTATTTGAGTTAAGTGATTACAAAATCACAAATTCGATCCTAACCGCTTCTCACTTTAAAGTAGAATTGAAATAAAAAGTGCAAAAATGTAAATCAAAAATTGGGTCTGTGCATAATCCACGCTTCAAGCCCAGTGGTGTGAGGGGGCGTGTTGAGATATATAGTCTCACATTGGTGGTATGAGCAACTAATGTGAAGTTTATAAGGCCTTAGACACTCTCACCCTTTGAGCTAGCTTTTGGAGTGGTATATTCCAAGATTCTTTGCACAAAGTTCAAGTAAAGACTCTTGACCTTGAAATTTAGCATGCTTGTAAGACCCAAAGGAACAAATGCTTGGTCTAGCAAAACCTAAGGCTTATGGAAGAATATCAATGCTGTAACTAGAATGAGAGAAATTTTGTAATTACGCAGGGCACATAAGCTGTGTGTATTAGGCCTATTCGTATTAAATGACTATATAATTTTTTGTGTCTGATATATATTTCATATTTTAAAGTAATGGTTTAAAACTTGTAGATTGGTTTGGGGTATACTTATACATATTCTTGGCGTATATAAAAGTTTCTACTGTAACATCAATATCATTAAACATCCACCGCCTGTAGAAATTTCATAAACAACGGAACTGGAAAGTACTCAATGTCAGAAACCGCGTGTATCTGAATGCCCAACATTGGAAATGAATCCTATAATTAGAGTAGTCATGAAGAAAATAAAGTCTGTTCAAAGACTCAAGCGGCATAGCGCTACATCTAGAATTTGTAGGATGCATTGAAAATATAAGTTGCGAGCATAACTTCACGTCATTTTCATTGAAAATGTATGCCAAAAATTTCGTCCCATTTTTATGAATTTCGTCCCTGTTATCATCAAGCTTCTAGGAAAACACATGGCCGACTATATATGTTAAGTAGAATCAACTTCTATTCTATTGCCGAATCAATCATTAATATTCTATGACCAGAAAGGCAGAAACCGTGTGAATTGCTTCTGTCGGTATGGTTATATATAATTGGTATGCTGGCCAAAGTAGTTTCTCTAACCACTTTATTTATATTAAATCAATTCGTTACATATTACCTATATGATATATAAAAGTTTAAATTTAAATTGCTGACTTGCAATTATGAATTTTAGCAGTGTATTGGCGCAACACTAGCATTGGTGGGCTATTTCTTTTTCAGTTTTTGGTATGTGTTGGAGATTGTTAGGATATCAATATTTGTTAGGATATTATACTGTTAGATATATTATACGGTTAGGTTGTTATATTGCAGATTCTTTAGTTTGTTACTAGATAGTTAGATAATTTAGATAGTTGTTTTTATCTCTTATCATTTCTCTGTAACAAAGCTCTGTAACAAATCGTGTATCTGTTTTGCCAATTGCCTATTAAAAGGCTGCACACTTGAATAATATCAACAGGTTGCATTACCAAGTTTATCTTGGTATCAGAGCGCACCAAAATTAAACAACGCTTCCGCAGTGTGAGGAAAAGTGCGAAAGCTTGCCCTACGGAAGATGGCCAGCAGCAAGATGAAACCCTCGGATCCTGGATCGCCATTTCATCTGGCAGGTTCGGATAATCCGGGAATTTTGCTTACAACTGTAATGCTGCGTGGAGAAGCCAACTATGAGAATTGGGCAAAGCTCATGAAAAACGCACTAAGAGCGAAAAATAAGTTAGGTTTCGTTACTGGAACCGTAAAGAAACCAGAGGAAGATGACGGGGAAGAATGGCGAGCGTGGGAGATGTGCAATTCGATGATCAATGGTTGGATACATAATTCCATTGATGCGAAATTGCAGCCATTCATCAAATGTTTTGATGAAGTAAAAGATTTGTGGGATGATTTGAAGGAGAGATATGCCGTGGAAAATTCTCCACGTCAATATCAACTCAAGACCAGTTTAGCTAATATAAAACAACTTGGAAATAGTGTGGGTGAATACTATACCAAGTTAAGAGCTGTGTGGGACGAACTTGAAGGGAGTAAAACCCGCAAGACGTGTGACTGTGGAGACAAGTGTGCTTACGCAAAGGAGATCGAAGAAGAGAAGGAACATGACCGTGTTTATCAATTTCTCATGGGACTTGATGAGGCTGTCTTTGGCAATTTACGTTCACAGATTTTGAACACCTCACCTTTGCCAAATGTCAACAAAGTGTATGTAATTGTTACGCAAGAAGAAACTCATCGTAACATTGCCCGCCATCAGGAAGAACGAGAAAATGTGGTAGGATATGTAGCTCAGGTTGGATTGAAAGACAAGATGGAAAGTCATGATCAGCACACGATCTCTGGCAAACAAGCCGAGAGAGTGCCGTGTCCTCATTGCGGGAAAACCAACCATGATCCCTCACGTTGTTGGAACGTCATTCGATTTCCAGCAAACAGATTTGGTGGACGGGGACGTGGAAGGGGACGATCAGGAGGAAGACATCAACAAGCTCATGCCATGCAGACTTGGGAAAGCTCTCAACCAGCCGTAGCATCCTATCAAGGTGATGCACTTCAACAAGCTGCAGCAGCAGCTTCTTACCAGAATAATGTGCCTCCGCAGGTCACAGCGAATTCAATGTTGACACCTGAAATTATGAACAAGCTCATTGCCTTGGTTGAACAGCCATCCAATGATAAATTGTCTGGTAAGATTACACACTTTCAATGGCTTATTGATAGCGGAGCCTCTCGCCACATGACGGGATCCTTGAATTTGTTGACTAAAATTAGAAAGATTAATCCTTTGTCCGTCACTTTACCAAACGGATCTGTTACTCTTGCAGAAAAAGAAGGAACAATGATGTTTAATGCACAATTCAAACTATCCAATGTGTTATATGTTCCCCAATTGAGATGCAATCTGATTTCTGTTTCACAGCTATTGCGAAATAATAGCAGGATGGTAACCTTTACTGATAAAAATTGCCTTTTGCAGGACCAAATACTGAAGAGGGAGATTGGTTTGGGTGAGCTCAAGGAAGGAGTGTATGTGTTTCAGCCCAAGCATGCTTCGACTTCAGCAGTTCGAGCAGAAGAATCTATGGAGCTGTGGCATAGTAGACTAGGTCATGCATCTTATGATATGTTGTCTTTGATTCCAGGAATTAATATTTCGTTGAATAAAAATGTTACTGGTGCGGCATGTGATGTTTGTCAATGTGCCAAACAAACTCGATCTGTGTTTCCTTTGAGTACTTCACGCAGTAAAGAAAGTTTTTATTTGGTTCATTGTGATACTTGGGGACCCTACAAGTCTCCTTCCTCTTCGGGTGCTTACTATTTCTTAACTATTGTCGATGATTTTAGTAGAAGTGTGTGGGTATATATGATGGCCGAGAAAAGTGAAACTTATGATCGAATGTGTAAATTTATGGCTATGGTGCAGAATCAGTTTGGGAAAAATGTCAAAATAATTCGTTCTGATAATGGAACTGAATTTAAGTCTAATAAAATGATGCAACTCTTGAGTGAAAAAGGCATTTTACAACAAACAACGTGTGTACATACTCCCGAACAAAATGGACGCGTAGAGATGAGACATAGACACATTCTTAATGTCTCGCGTGCTTTATTATTTCATGCAGGTATGACAGCTGAGTTCTGGGAAGAAAGCATTCTAACAGCTGTACATCTGATCAATAGAACACCTACAAAGGTTCTTGGAGGAAAGTCACCACATGAGATATTGCATGGAACCCCACCAGAATACACTTACTTGAGAACATTTGGATGTTTGTGCTTCGCTAACTTCAGACCCAAACCCAATGACAAATTCGCTCCACGCTCTCGACGATGTATTTTAATTGGATATCCAACAGGACAAAAGGGTTGGAGATTGTTAGATATCGAGACTGGACAGCGTTTTGTGTCAAGAGATGTCAAGTTTCGAGAACAAGAATTTCCATTCCGAGTAAAGAAGAATGAACCTATTGTCCCTCAGCTGCCTACATCATTCCCTGATGAAACTGAAAACGTTGTAGTTGCAGAAAACGCTGAAGAGCAGTCATGTGAAACTGCCACAATAGTGCAACCCACTACGGACGATAGGGGGAGCTCCGATGATGGACTGAGGCAATCACAAAGTATGTCGTCTTACCAAATCCTTGTATGGACTGAGGCAATCACCACGAAACTGGTTCTCCAAACTCAGCTCTTCCTTGACACATTGTGGTTTTATACAATCAAGGGCAGATTATACGCTCTGTACTCTCCAAAGAGGGGACGCTTTCCTAGCAGTCATAGTCTACGTTGATGATATAATAGTGGCAGGGAATGATCCTAAAGCATGTAAAGCAGTCAAGGAGTATCTGAACAAATGTTTCAAAATCAAAGACTTAGGTCCGCTGAAGTATTTCCTGGGTATTGAAATTGCTCGTAGCAAGCAAGGCATTTTCCTTTGTCAACGTAAGTACACTTTGGACCTTCTGTCCGAATCAGGCTTGAGTGGGAGTAAGCCTGCGAACTCTCCCATCGAACAGAATCATCGCCTCGCCTTGGATGATGGCCCTATGTTTGAC